CTAGTGTTTCTGTGATTCTGTGAAATACAAAACTGCCCTTTCCTGGTTCTAGGGAATGTACTAGGCGGCCACAGCCGCGGTCTTTCAGAACTAGATGACAAAAAACACATCGATAACTGAACAGTGCTGACCTGCTAGATCAGCATTAATAACTTATTAATGCCTAAATGAAAAGTCCCACCTAATCTTGCATCTCCTTACCCTTAACATTTTCACTCTTTCGCCATCTAATAAACAAATAATTTATTACAGCAGTCTTTACCTCCCATCCTTGGTTGTATGTGGTTTCTATTTTACCAACAGAATCACCTTTTACCACTGTGGTTAATACCAGCTTTGGTACAAAGTTCCCTGGCCTCCATGTAATCCACCTGCAGCCTCTGGTTCACCTCATCCTCCCTTCTGACCTTTGCAAGACTGTCTTTTCAGTGTCTGCATTTGAAGAGGCCCATACCTTTGAACGTGAAATGAAGAGGGCCCAGTCAGCTCACACATGCTCAGCTACACCATCTTTGTTGATGAACCGAGGTATTATATGCAGTCTTGATGGAAAATAAAATCATAGTAACGTAACTGCCTCTATCACCTACTGCTTTTCTTGGCTAGAAATGCAAGTCAGCTTCTCCTTTCTTACTTTCAGTATGGTGACCCCGCAAATTAAGGCTCTACCAGCTTAATAAATAAATAAGAAATTACAGGATTATTTCACTTCTAGATTTCCTGCATGTAGTTTTATAATCTGGTTAGTCAGAGCAACTACCTAATGTGCTGAAAGTCAAAATTGCATATTGCTTACAAAAACACTGCAGAAAAATGTTGGTTATATGGAAGGGCGAAGAAGCCAAAAATTGACCAATCTCAGAATTTAAAAAAGTGTAGCCTCATGTTAAAAAACCACCACAAACAAACAAACCCCCTAAAACTAACCCCATGATCACGAATCCTCTTGTATCCTTTTCCATCCTATGTATCATCTTACAGGCAATTGAAACTGACTGGTACAATTATCCATGCTTATTTCTGGCTAAAGCATAATAATAAGAAGAGATAATGAAAATTAAAAAAAAAAAAATTAAAAGTTACCTTAAAGGAATTAGCTGTCTTTATCAAAAAATCCAGACAGGGAGATACTTTTTTGTATGTGCTCATCATCACATACTAGCTCTCTAGCTTCCAAAGGAACAAAGTCTATTCTTCCTCAAAACAATGCAACTGTTGATCTATATTGATTAATAAGAGATGATCCAACTCAGTGTAGCCAACTGAAGTATGATCAGTTTGTAAATGCAAATAGGTATAAAAAAACCCCACTAAACTTATTGAAGGCTATTATTGTTCTAGTACTCATGAATGGCTAAAATATTTGTAAAGTACTCAGAATGCAGAATGTGTCAGATAAGAAGGGCTTTTCTTAAGACAACATAACAAATAAGGAGACAGAAGAGTAAAAAAGCCTCCTCACCTGGATGATTCAGAAGGGTGTCAAGTTCTTCTTTGGCCACAACCATTCTTAATTTGTCACTGCTATCAATGACAAAAATAATGGCTTGGCCTTCTCTGCATAACATAAAAAGAGCAAAGAGGCAAATTATAGGTTCTCTTAAACTGTAAAAAAAGGCTTCAGAAGAATCATCAAAAAAAAGCAAACAAACCTGATGTTTTTTCCTCTAATTTGCTTTTTTATTTCCCATTAACAATTGAGTCTAGTCCTATTTCTGAAATTCAACCTTTTGGTAGCCTGCGTAATTTTTTGAGACATGAAGTTGTTAGCCGTGTGACTCATACAAGGTTCAGTCTACACAGACCCTTCAGAAAAGCTTGATTTCACTACTGAGGCTGAAAATGTAACTCTGAAAATGTAACCAACTGCTATTCTGACAGTGTGGTCAGACAGACACAGAGAATCTAAAGACAGTTATTTGTAGAAATTTTTTATTTCCTACACTAAAACTAGTCTATTTAGAAAGGTCAATCATCTTTTTTGAAAAAAACTGTGTGTCCACAGCTGTTTAACAACTAGGCATATGCAGATTAATTTAGCTTTTACCAAAGTCTGCATAAACAAATTTTGCTTTTGTTTTGAGTAACAGGTAAAAATTTTCTACTATTTCAAATCATTAAGACATTTTGCTAGCAATATGACCACAGTCACAACATATATACATGCTATCCAACTCATCATTTCAGGATATTACTGATATTTTATGACTTGACGTTCCATTTATTGAAACATTTTAAAGCAAAATAATGTCTGACCAATTCAGATGAACAGTTATAAACACCCACAAAAAGTATTTTTAATCTACATTTTAATGTAATATTCAATCTTCATTTTACATTTCTCTGAGAGATCATTACAGATACATTCTTCACCCCCAAGAACCTTCTACCTTCATATTTTGGTGAGAAACAGTCCTAGACCTACTGAAAAACAGAAATAACTTGACCAGCCTAAGATTTTATGAGAAGGTCCATTCTTTTCCATAGTACAGAAAAACTTTAACAGCAAATAAAGCTTTTGCATATTAGCTGAAAATGCCTAAGTAATTTTTATGAGCATACAGTGTTTTTCTACAGGAATTAGAGTCCTAGCATGTTTTTACTACCAAAAAGTAACTTCACAAACAAGTAACAGTAATAGGGACACAACATGAGTTTATATATATTTAAGACAAGTGTATTTTGAAGACAGTTGAACTTGATCTTCGAGGTCTTTTCCAGCCTTAATGATTCTATGATTCTATACGATAATTTCAAGCCAAATAGAAGAAAAGGGCAAGCTTTAAGTAGTCCAAAGCAACTACTTCGACACAGATACTTGATCAGATTTGATTGACATTTTGCAATTCTTGCAAAATTAAATCTTGCTTAACTTTCTAAACTGAACAGCACATTATTATTTTTCTATTATTCTTATAAGTTAATTTTGAATATGTGACTACTGCAGGGAATCAGGAACAGATACAAGTGCACATTTCACTGTCAGCATTACCTAAGAAACTCCCTTACTGTTAAGAGGAAAAAAGTAGTTTATGCCACACAAGGGAGAAGTTACTGCATTAAACAGAGCAGTAATAGAGTCAGAAAAATTATTTGCTTATGAAGCACTCAGCTAGCACTTTGAGAGCAGCCTAAGGGCATCAGTTATTGAAATAAAAAAATTTGGAAGACATACGTCTGACACTCTTGAACAATGAAGATCTCCTACCCACATAAGTTTTCAAATTGCTAACACATTTTGCACAGAAAGGAGATGAAGTGTTACTCCTCAATTAAATAATACTTTAAGGTCTATCACATTAAATATTAATATTTAATCAATATTATAATTGTCAGAATTTCTCCATTCTATCTCTCCAAGCTATGTATGTGTGGTTTACTACTGTTCACCTTATTTAGAGCAGCACCAGCTATTACAGAATAACAATGAGACAACATAAATGAAGATTCAAGTTTCATTAGAAGCCAGAAAAACAGAAAATGGTGTCTATTACCAATAAGGCAATACCACAGTGTTATAAAGTACAGCGAATATTCTGCTTAACAAATAACACCTAAGAATACTTGGTCAAGTTCTTAGTTACATGTGCCTCATTCTCAGAGATTAATTTCCCCCACCTCTAAAAATCTCAGCCATCAGCCAATATCTTTTGGTTCTTAAGTCACTTACCTACAGAAGAACAGAAAAACAGCAAACCTAACTCATCTTGGTCCTTTCTTACAGGATTGGTTTTTCTGGTTTCAACATTTAAATCCCATCTCTAGTATGCTTCCCCAATATTCAAGTCAACTAAATGTCCCCAAAAGCATGCTGATTAACAGCATATAAAAAGTTTTCATTTTTTAGAACAGAAAGAAAAGTTGTATTTATCCAGAATGACCTTCTGTCAAACACCAGGTGTAAGTCTTCTCTGAATCATTTCTAACAACTAGATATTAGCATACTTCTGTTTAAATAACATACTTGACAGCTAATATGAGCAGCAAAGCTTTAAAATAAATGATAGGCTTACTTGTAGTAATGTTCCCAGAGGTTTCTGTATCTCCCTTGACCTGACATATCAAACACTGTGAAAGACAAGCTACAAAGAAAAGAAGTGTATGAGGCACAGAAACAAAGAACAAAACCCAAACTATTTTCTCTGCTACCCTGACAGAAAAAAAGCCAGATCAACTTGAATCCTAATCCACTGAGAAAGATTCTCACAGGAACTCTGGTTACTCTATCTGCCTTCAAGCCAACCTACCCAGTTTTGCAGTCTTAATATAGAAATATTTCACAATGGAAAACATGTTTGTTTATTCTCTGAATAAAAGAACTAAACCAGTTATGAACAGTTATATCAAATACAAAATAAGTTCCCATTCAGCCTGTCTTTTTATTACATTAGTACCGTATATTGTTTATACTGTTGAGTAAATGAAATTCAGATGAGCCATGACTTAAAATCCATAGCCTATCTTAAATTCTGTCCCTAGACAGGCACTAATAGCATCCAAAGGCTTCTGTATGCAAAATAAAAGGCTTTTTAAAAAAATAAATAAAAATTCCACCTTCAGAAAAAAATTACCAGAATGTGGTTTTTTTTTTATAACAGGTTACCTCAGGTGACCAAGCTACAGAGGGCAGTCTTCACAACTTTGAGATGTGACCCATATGCTAAATACAGCAAGCCAACTTAAAGAACATGACAAAAAATTCTGATCCACTCCTGAAATGTCTACAGAAGCAACACCAAATTCAGTATTACGCTTTCCTGTTTTGGGTAGTCCCAAAGAGCTCCCTGAGTGGAGGCCACACCAAAACGAGGAGGTTTTGAAAAGGAAGATCTCCAATCATCCTTTCCACTCTATATCCAGACATCATATAACTCTAGACTAGCTGCTCTGCCATGTATACAGTTATTAGCAACCCCCAAACAATGTTCTGATTGTAATATTAGATTAATGAAGTTTTGGGGTGGCTTGTGGGTTTGTTTGGGTGTTTTGTTTTTTTAATCATTCTACATGGTGTATTTTCGGGTCATCTCTCCTACTACAGGATCAGAATAAAGCAATATAAATCAACTTGCATTCTCATACAGCTAAACCCCAAACCTGTCTTATGTGCTTTACTGAGGCAGAATACAGTTGTTGAGCCTCCTATACAAACATGAAACCTATCAATCCCACACATCAGCTCAAGGAATAAACAATTTTCTTGCAGATCTCCCATCCAGTGGGGCATGCTGCTTGGTTTGAAGACTAACTGCACCCATTAAAAATACACTGTGAAGGCTACAGAATAATAAAATAATATCCTATGTTACCACCTTGAGGTATCTTTGTCTCACGACATTCCTTTTCTATATCTTAGCCTTCATTCAACTAATGATTTCTTCCTCCTTTTCCTGACCTTTGCCCCTGCCATCTTTACATTACTAATGCTATAACCACCATTTTTCCTTTAATGAGATTAGACTGCAATCTCTTCAGAGTCCTTCCAGTGAGAGTGCTTAATGGAATATACATTACCATCTAAGCAACTGTCTCTTCTCAAGTCTGTAACAGTGCCCTATTCTGAAATTCTTAACAGACAGAAATCAGATGCTTATACACGCTATTGCAAAACTTTTTTTTTTTTTTTTTTAAATTAAACGTGTACATAGTTTTATAGCAGCACAAAACATAGAATATATTCCAACACTGTCAGTCCGGGATCATGGTTTGGACTCCTGGGTACTACAACATTTCAGCAAACTGCACGTTATGTCATTATATGACCACACATTATACTCACATCCCACTGAAGGAGGTAATTAAGTCCAACTATCGTATATTAATTACTACTGCTAAATGGAGAAAATGAAAGAAACTAGTACCTCGATGTCTTGAATTTCTCTATACTGAATCCTATTGTTGGAACGATGTCCTGAGTCTGAGCCTTTAAAGGAAAGAAGTACAAATTTTAAAATCAAGTTAGAAAACATAAATATTGAAATATATTTGAAATATGAATACATTACAGATCTATTTTTCCCCAGACTTTCTACATATACAGATAGTACAGATAGTCTGTGTGTACAAGTATGTGTGGATATTACCTATGAAATAGGAGGTCGGTTAACATGGAAGATAACAGCTTCAAGATTATGACTGAGGTTGAAGTTCACAATATTTGTGCACTTTGGAAATGACAGTGTCAACCCAAACAAGTCTGCACAATACCCCAAGCCTCTGAGATAAAAAAAGGTATACTTCTAGCATGATATTAGGTCGGCCATGCTGCCAACTTCTATCAACAGGCCAGAGGACTCTATTTGACATTGGGAATTATACAGCAGACATTACAAAATGGCCTAACCATAGCTCTATTCAAACTACCACACCACTGGAAGAAATCACCATTTACCACAGAGGAATGGCAAAAACATAAAGCATTATTAATAGATTTGTGTGATAACCAAGTTTACTGCTGAGCTAGCCAAGGAACCTATCAGCTAAGCTGGTACAACAGAATAGCTCCTTTAAGCAGCATTGATATTGAGCAGGCAGAAAGGTCACATTCCTTAGATTACAGAGCTGTCTGAGAAAGTGACATGCACTCCTTTTACAGAATTTCTAGAGCCCGTTATTAAAAACACTATCTGTAAGCCATTGACTCCTCGCATACAACTGAAGGAAGCTTGGCTTTTTCATCTGCAGCTTCATTATGAAAATAGCATTCCACCATCGTACACAGTTTAGTCAACAGCTCCTGTCAACAAGGGAAAATTTGTGCAGAGTACAGAAGGTGTTACATCTTAACATATTTCAAATGCATTTATCGGGCCCAGAAGAAACAACTGCGAACAGATGGAAAAACACTTGTATTTGCCAGACAACTGGTATATTGCTCCTAGGGCAAAGCAGCAGTTCTTCTTAAGAAGACTGGGTTGATTCAGAGCTCAAAAAATCATCTGCCCATTGATCTTACTAAAAATAAACAATTTCATCAAGTCTGATCTAATTACATTTGTTGCACGTTAGAGAATCTGTCACCTCTTGCAAGGATAGGACTGGCACAAGTTGTATGCAAAGCTACCCTCCTAAAGCATCTCAGATGAAATGAAAACATTCAGAAGTAAATTCTCATTACACAATTTACAGTAAAGCAAACAAATTCCATTTTTTGTACTTGTGCAATTCCCTTGGGACCTTCTCCAATACCTATTATTGTGATAAATCTTGAAGTCTGCATTCAACTCTAGTTAGGAATCCTTTACTGCCTAAGGCATGACATAAAAACCCTGCTACAATTAAAGTCTCAAAAATTACATAAGTATATAATTTGTCTGGTACAAATTGTAGCATTTCCCCCAGAGGACTAGGAACAGATAGTAAGCAGTTCAGAGCCTTTGTTTATAAATCTACTTAATTTTCAGTGTAAGAATAATTGCTAGGAATGGATGAGTAGCAGACTCTTTACCAACTTACATTTTTTAAACAATATCCAGTGTTACTCTTCAGGAAAAGATCAGTGGAAGCTAAAAAACAAAAGCTGTGTCCTGATGCAAACAGCAGAAATCACAGTATCCCAGATGCATGTACCACGGATGCACAAGCCTCTGGCTTTGAACATGCCTACCAAAATTCATCTATTTCTATTCCATAAACACACCTAGAAACAAGGTAAGCCTACTTTAAATTTTGCTCAGAATGCTAGGCACTCCTAGTAGCCTGAAAAACACTTTTCACTGGATGAATGAACTGCAAGTATAAATGCTAGTTATTTTGAAAGCTATTCTTTTAAAAAATGCTGAAGTTGCCATTAAGTGTGCATCTTCTCATTATTTCCTACTTTATTATTTATTATATACTTATTATTTCTCAGGAAGATATTAAAATAAACATTATAAATGTAGACAAGTTGTTATACAACTGTATGAATCCCAAATATTCGACACATCACTCAATTCCTACAGGACTGCAATTACAAGTGACTTAAGAAAGTCGTTTCAGATCCTGATTTCAGCCATCATAAACCTTTCCTTATTGGGTAATCTTAAAAAATATGTGCCACATTTACCAAAAAAACACTGCTAATGTTTTCATAATATGCATGTGGATGCTTACATTTAGTTTTAGTTAGTTGGAAACTCTTAAAATGTATTTGTCCACTGTACTAAATCGAAAAGGTCTTCACATCTTTTCCGTGGTTACATTTAGTGTAACAGCATACAAAACCAGTTTAAACAAACATCAGCTTTGCAGTAAAAACACCAACAGTAAAGTAAGTAGGCTACTTACGTTGGAAGGTTTAAGTCTATTTATGATTGTTGTTTTGCCACTATTGTCCAAGCCAAGGCACAAAACGTGAACCTCCTTTTTCTTCAGCCCAAGCCATCCCGCTAGCTTGTCAAACAACCCCATAATTCTGGGTCAAATACACAGGGATCACCTGTTCAGAAAATGAGAGAAGGAAATAGCTGTTGGAAAACTGTCACATGTACAGCAGCGCTAGCACAGTAGGTGGACATGTGGCTAAGCAGTCCTTAAACTTTTAAAAGGACAGTGTGAATAAGACACTATACAAACACTGTCACAATGGGTTTGCTTGGTATACTAAGCAAATGGAGTGTAAGCTGATTATAGCGAAGAGGCCTTGATACAAAAGTAGATTGGCCGTTTATAGCCCTGTCTAGATAACGCGACGTCCTTGATTCACTGGGTAGCAATATTGCCATCATTCTGAGTGGTCCAAATAGCCCAACTGCAATGCCGCCTCACCTTCCACCAAACTGAAAAAAGGAAGACCATTACATTTTACTTCAAATTGTCAGCAGTCCAGTCAGTTACAATTTAGATGACAAAGCAAAACAGTATTTCCCTTCTTCAGCACCTGCTATGTAATTTATTGAACTCTGAAGTAAATCAAGTAGTCAATTCAGTGCAAACTCTAATTGTAACAGGCTTTGCTGATATTAATATGTATAAATTAGTAACTCATTGACTACAAATAGAAACTGATTATAATAGATCCAACAGACATGAAGCCAGCCACCGTAACATTCACCCATACCTCAGACAGACACTGAACTCCTACTCCTGCCCAGACACTGACTGAAATTACCTGGCAGTGGCATATTTGAAGGAGCTTACATCACGCGTTCCCTTGTGGTACCTGGCTAAACGTACTTTCCAAAGAGGATAACCCTTGTCTATCCCAAACCAATTCCACTAAGAATAATTCCAGCAGCTAGACAGCTGAAATATTTGTGATGCATTCAATAATAAAGCATTTAATTAATGCCAGGGGAATTTTGTGGAGTGGTGAAAGCTCTTTTTTCTCTTAATAAAGAAAAAACACACAGCACTGGACAACTTGGATTGCAATGTTAATCACCCCAGAAAATCATGCCAGGAGGAGGAAGAGGAAAAAACAATGCAAATGACAAGTACTTGGTCTCACTTCTTCATTAACTGATTACAACATTATTATTAACTACATTTTAATGGAAATAATTTTTAAATATTTGAATTTAATCAAGTCACAGAAGCCATCACCTTTGTTTACGGCATAATTTTTTTAAAAATACAGATCCTTTTTAAAGCTTTATCTAGTGCATTTTGATTCAAGACTAGTAGTAATCTACAGAGTGGCTATGTGTGTAACAGCTACACACAGTTGTCACTAGATTAAACAAGCTCAACATTAGTTACAGTAATTCCCTCAAAGAAAAAAATAATCCTTATTTTTCTTCTAACTTTCTTTATTTTATGCCCCAGTCCTTTTTTAATATACATATAACTCTGAAGGCAGATTAAGGTTTACTGTTTATTATCAAATTAACCTGACAGAACCCTGCTCCAAAACACATTACTTTCTAGTCCAATCGAAAGCCTTATCTATTTATTCTAGGTCCAAATAAATACCTTGCAGGTACTCTTAAGATGGAAAAAGAAGAAAATGCAAGCACTTAAAAGATACTGCTAGGGCTTCACTTGTAAACCCAAAAGTCTAAATACACATTCTTTGACAACAGTTCCTAGCAACATTTTAATTATAGACACTTCATCTACAATTTTTTTCATAACAGTTGGCAAAGTCATTATTTAAGAATACAATGGGTAAAAATGTACCTCTGACTTCTGACCCTGCCCCTTTTCTCCCATTCTTTTCCTCAGCTGTGAAGAGTTACAGCAGCTACAGCTGGCACAAGTTCCTTTTTTTGCCAGCTGACATTCAGCCCAGAATGCTCTATAGCATATGTTAGACATGTTCTAGAATTATTCAAGGTAGAGTTTGGTCCAAGAACTTGTTATCAAACTCTAAAAATCTTTATCAAGAAGCCTGTTTGAGGCATCAGTGATTATTCTTGTGACTAACCAGGCTGCAAAACTCTTGACAATAAACCAGTCATGTAAAGCCTTGAGAGAAGCAGTGAGCTGCCGCTAGGAAGCGGAGCCAGCTGAGCCGCACAGGTCTGCGGACATCCCCTGCGAGGTGCCCGGGCAGGCACGGCACTTCTCTCCGGTGGCTGCTGAGCAAGACATCGCAACCCACCACTCCAGTTACCAGCACGCTAAGCTAAACGCGACAATTCACAGGGTGCGATACGCAGCATGTTTCTGAGAAGCAGATCAGAGCAGATGGCCTGCAGAGGCCCCTTCCAAACTAAACGACACTAGAAGCCCACTTAATTCACGTAGCTTACTCGAAACGCCTGAGATACCACGGCTG